TCATTGCCTATAGAATCAGTACCTTAATAAAGGTAAAGAGTCAAACATTGAAATAATTATTTTCTATGATCTTTGGAAAATGGAAAATGGGTTGATTCAGTATGCGTGGAGAGAGTTCACTTAACGATTTTCTGTTGTACTTAGTTAAATATTAGTTTGTGTGGGCGTTGACTGGGGTAAATCGTGTTTAGACGCTGATTTGATTTATTTGAATTTGAGCTGTCATGACATTTCTAAGTGATGGATGAATTTGATAGTCGAATCAAAATCCGAAGAATTTACGAGGATCCTAACTTGATATTAATAACAAATTGGGTAAAATACTTTGAGCTTACAAGTTCAATTAAAGTTCACATAACATAAAGCTGACTGTGAGTCGGTTTATAGATGTTATAAAAAAACTTTTTTTAAAATTTGTTTATTACAATTTCCACAATAATTTTCTCTCGTTCAACTAAATCACTGATAATGTAATTTTAAAGACACGACTTGAAAAGTTGCATTTCTGAAAATATTTTCGTGAAAATAGGTTTCGAAAGGGTCCATAATGGAAATCTCTTTTATGTTACAATGAACGTTTCATTTGCGTTCTGTTATTAAAAACAGCCTGAACGTTGCATAAGATAAAGTGTTAAAGCAGTGGTCAAGCGACCACCATGGCCGACCACTGGTCGTGGCTTACGGGCGCCGAGGCGGAGTACACGTACAGCCCGCCCACACGGCCCAGCCGCCCGCCGCACCGGCCGCTGGTGAAACTGGCGACCAGCGCACACCTGCACACCATTGCCAGGTGAGTGTTACACAGCACACAGCGACGAATGAGTTTGCTGGAGACTACTGGTGGTAGCTAACGGGCGCCGAAGCGGAGTACACGTACAGCCCGCCAACGCGGCCCAGCCGCCCGCCCCACCGGCCGCTGGTGAAACTGGCGACCAGCGCACACCTGCACACCATTGCCAGGTGAGTGTTACACAGCACACAGCAACGAATGAGTGCGCTGGAGACTACTGGTCGCAGCTGACGAGCGCGAGGCAGATTTTGTTGACAGCCTGAAATTCACGGTAGTAAAGCAGCGACGTATATGACTGCACCAGACAGTCTGCCAAGGAGTTGTATCCGCCTCTACAACCGACTTGAACATCGCCTCAACGTGACCACGACCGCTCTGCCAAGAGCGACACGAATAAAAAGAAGAATCAGCGATCAATAGTAGAAACGACATTGATGATGTCGCTTACTCGAGGAAACAACCGACCACTGTGAGTCGGCTTAGAGCAAAGTTCTCGTATTTTCTTCATATCATAATCACGAACGTTCTTTGGTTCACTTTTTTTATTCGTGTACGTCAGTCACATGTCTGGGACATTAATGTGTTTTATGCTTGCGAAATGCAACTGAACTTTTCTATCTATTGCGTAACTAAACTGATTTTTTCTGATTAGTAAGGCATATTAAATTACAATATTCACTTATTTTGAAAGTAACACAAACAGACCAACAAGATTTTATTCTTTAAGAAAACCCTCCTAAAATAACAAGAACATAGTGCTACTAGGTAGCACCTAACGACGACTTACATGCGAGACGCTAAGTGTATTTTCATTAAACTAAATGAAACTTCAGTGGTCTTAACGATATTACTACTAAGAAACTAAGAGCACGTCGGGCACCTTCGTCTGCTTTTGAAACTAAAGACGCTCCGACCCTGCTCAAACTTTTCAGACAGTCGCTAGTGTTAACTAGTCTTAAAATAGGTTATTCTAGATTTTAAGAACTCATGCATAGAGTTCATTTTAAAATGAAAATAAACTCTTATTGTATTGGGGTATGACATGTCTTAAAAATTAAGCAAAATTCAAGTGGAAATTCATTTCTGTTACCAAAACATTACTCCATGCATTTCCCTTCATTAACATTCAGCACGTATTTCATGAAAAATGGTTTGACTCTCCAAGGAATCCATTTGGCAAAGAAAACCAACCATTTTCTGCTACCAAAACTACATTTTCGCCACAAAAACAACCTTAACAGCTTTTGCAATAAGGAATTTGTAATTTTCTTCGGGGGAAACTCGTTTGAGTTTTCCGTGACTTCTTATTCTTGTTGCATTTTTTCCTTACTTTCCTACGTGACCTTTATGCATACTGAGTTAAGGTTCGGTTTAGTTTAGCGGCTTAACCTGGGCAGTACCTAATGATGTTTTCTTACAAATTTCTATTTTCAGCTGGAAAGTGAATTTTCAGGGGATTTTTAAGGTTTCAACTGCAAACGTATGTTTGTTGGCGAGTGAACGTTGACTGCAATGACAGCTTGATGGATGAACACGAGTTGAGGGTTTAATTTCACGTGATGTATGGAACCATGAATGTTTCATGACGATGTCAAGGTCTGAAAGCCGTATTTTCATGTTTTTAAAAAGTTTCCTAATGCATTTTATGCGTCAGAGGTTCTTTATAGGTGTTTGTCATTGTCCGTTATTTACCATAACATAATGACTCTATTATGTGTTATGAATTTAAAATTATACACTTACTCAAACGATAAAGATTCGTGGTATGTTTTCAAACTTGTTTACGTAAGTACTATGTAATTATTTGAAATTAGGAAAATTTTTAAAAATTAGTTTGTAGGTCGTTTGGCCAATCTTTTGTGATATGGTGGCTATGCATTATTGCGATTCAAAGGTATTTTAACACTAGTAGTATGAGGTAGAGCAAGCTAGGGGCAAATAGGTAATCTGCTCGTATATTATTACTACCTGGCGACGAACATAATTGTACCAGTCAAGTCATTGCGTTTTAACGAGCTGATCATACAAATTACGAAGCTCATCCGCCATCCTCAATCAGTTAAATAAACAGTATGTCATCTCAAGACAGCAGTCTCAGGTAATGCCGGGGAATCTCGGAGCGTCATAAACACGGGGGAAACAATGAGCCATCGCTTCACGTGTGGCTGGTGCATGCCAGGGCTGTCTATCTTGAAATGTAACAAAAGTTGCTATGATTGAATAAAAAAAGCTAGATATTATTATATTGATTAAAGATGGAGCGAAGGATCCGATGACATTGTAGTTTGGGGGATGAATAAAAGGTATGGAATAGACGCTCTATTGCTATAATTTAAGTAGCTACTATGTAAATGTGGTCCCAGGTAGAGCGCAGTGTATTAGGTAGCTGAAGTAGGTACGCAGCGAGACTATGGCCTGCAACCAAACTCCAATGAGAATGGAAGTTTCTTAATTAAGATCATACTTCTAGCAACTGATACTTCTACTAAAATAGTAAGACTCGGATCTTAACGCGACGTTTATTAATGAGTTACATTATGTACTCACGGCTTGACGTTTCGGCTGCGATGCCGCAGCCGTGGTCACAAGCAGACTGGGCGGCTCGCGGCATCGTCCGTTCTGATACTTCTGTTGCATACTTAAGACTTGATACAGTTTATGAGGATTATGTATATTATGTTCAGCTATGGACGTCTATAGTTTATTATACTTACCCCTTTTTACTCACAAACTACTTAAGGTAATATTTCAGATGATTCTCGTGATTAATGTGATGATTTTTGTTCAAAATCCAAAAACGGCAACCCTGAAACCATCTCCCACACCAGTCACGTATTGCCAGGGGAGAAATAAATTTTCCCCAAAATCGCGACTTGCTCTATATGGAAATTTTTATATTTTCCACAGACAGTATGTTTGTCGTTGTTTTTATTGTTGCCCATGATGGGGCGAGCAGGTGGTAGGAACTTTAAAGCGTGCATTGAATACGCAGTGATAAGAAATTGTATGCAAATATCTAATACCAACTTGGTGGGGAGAATGTGATACCGGTTTTGCATAAGTATAAGGTAATATTGTGTGTTTGTTTGGAATGTAAACGTCACGTTAATAACTTGGCGTTCCCAATTTTGGGAGTCGGTTGTCTTTATACGTTTGCGCTGACTGATATTTAGTTTTATATTGAGGAAATGTTTATTTTTTTATTTTATCAACATATATTTTTTAACATCTCTTTTGTTGGTTACTACATTTATATTCATTATTTATTTAAGTTTGAGCTGAAACTTCTTAGATCTTTCAGGGACGTTAAAGTCAGATGTTCTTTTATTAAAAAACATTGCTAAAATAAAATAATAAAGACATTATTACCCCTGTTTTTTAAAACATAAATAGTACTTTTCTCACCATTTCCCACATTAATAGCAATATTAAATCACGAGGCACACCTACGCCATGCGTCACTGCCGCACGAGGGAATCGAACCCGGGCCAATGGGCCGTGGGATGGCGCCGCGGGACGCATACCAACTTGGGATAATGTGCGATACACTACAGGATCGCACGTTTTTCACTTAGCCTCTTTGTTTTGGAGATAAACTCTATGAATAAGTAGTAAAAACCATTGTTTTTATGTATTTCATTTGCCCTTATAATATGTTATTATTCTTATTGTATATTTTTATACTGTCCCGAAGGAGCGATAGGCTTAAAATTATACCGGACTGGCAATAGTACAAAGTGCTTTTCATTATAATTAATGGAAAATCTGTTATGGGAACAAAAAGTCAATCACTCAATTTTGTCTAAAAATAAATATGAGACGTCCCATAATAGAATCTCAAATAGTACTTTGACATCTATTTTTACCTCAATCGACAAATTGAGGGAGGCAAACTATTGCCTCCCTCAATTTGTCGATTGAGGTAAGTACTAACTTACCGACAATCGCACGATTCACTTTGCGAATAATTAGCATGTACAATCATCAGTAATGACATCCAACCACAGGCCTCACCATGACTTGCTAGGCCGTTCCATTACCAACATACTATTACTTACTTCTAAAATTACACATAGATGCACCAAGGACTTAGGCCTGCTGTTTGGATCAAAATCTTCTTTAGCTCTTACAAAATAAGAATTATACAAAATTCATGATAAATTGGCCAGGTAATTACGTGTAATGTGAAGTGAAAAAAAAATGAATTTGTAATATAATGAGGTCCGTGAGCGGTGCAAGCCATTTTGGTGGAAGGATCGGAGCGAGATGTGTTCGCCGTGGGTTCTGCTGGGGCTGGTGATGGCAGCCGTGTCGGGGGCGCGTGGCACTGCCGAGGTGATGAGCCACGTCACGGCACACTTCGGGAAGGCTTTGGAGGAGTGCAGGACTGAAGTATGGACCTCCCTTTGTGTTTTTCATCATACATTATGTTTTTGATTTACTATTGAGTTGCCAATTAGTTTTTGATTGGGTTTCAATCGAAGTTTGACGTTGTACGGACCACATCACATCATGCTAAGAGCTGATTTGTGGAATCTGTGGATTAATCATAATTTAAAAGAAATCCAAAATTAAAGCATAAATGAAGCGCATTAAGCCCTTTTCAGCCTTATCATTTTGGATGTTAATTCAATCAAGTATTTCATCACAATATTCTATTCCTGGATACTGGGACAAGCTTTGTGACTTAGACCCATCATATTCCAGACCATAGTCTCACGACATTAGAAGCGTGTGACCTGTAGAGTCATGATCTCACATCACTAGTCGCGTGGTCCTTTCACAACTTACTACCCCCAGTCGGGCCTGTCCCCCGAGATCCTGGAGGAGTTCCAGCACTTCTGGAGCGAGGACTTCGAGGTGGTGCACCGCGAGCTGGGCTGCGCGCTCATCTGCATGAGCAACAAGTTGTCTCTGCTGCAGGACGACACGCGCATCCACCACGTCAACATGCACGACTACGTCAAAGGCTTCCCGAACGGTTAGAGATCCATCATAAGATCGTAATTTTTATACTTTACTAGCTTTCCGCCCGCGGCTTCGCCCGCGTGGAATTTTGTCTGTCACAGAAAAACTTTATCGCGCGCGTCCCTGTTTCAAAAACCGGGATAAAAACTATCCTATGTTCTTTCCCGGGACTCAAACTATCTCTATGCCAAATTTCATCAAAATCGGTTGCGAGGTTTAAGCGGGAAAGCGTAACAGACAGACAGACAGACAGACAGACAGACAGAGTTACTTTCGCATTTATAATATTAAGTTGGGATTCATAACAAGGCAGGTGTTTGACCTCAATCGCACCTGGTGTTAAGTGGGTTGCAGTCTAGGATGGTACATATCTGCCCTGTAAACTGCAAGTGCCTATTCACTCGCCTTGATAAAACCCGGATTATTATGTAGTCTTCGGGAAAGACAGCAGCAGGCAGCGAATTCCAGTCCCTAGCTGTTCGCGTTATAAAAGAGTCATCGAAACGCATTACTAGTGCGAGCTGGTGAAATGTCGACAATATAGGGATTGTTCGCTAACTTGCGTCTGGTTCCCCGGTGATGGAAGCTTGTGTTAGCTTGTGTAATAGGCTAGTTGCCTAAAAAAATTTTTTTAGTCCGTAATGTTTAATATCAAAAAATATTGGACACATATAATTTTATTTGTCAATCTAACAAATAATTACATAGTTATGGTGCGTTGAAGTTGCGCACGACGTCATAACGTGCGGCATTTTTAAGCAAGCGTTGACGTCACGGGCCTCTTCTTATGAACTTGGGCGCTTTATCTCTTTAAATTTTCATTAGTTTGAAAAAGTGAAAAATACGTGTATAGTATTTTTTGATAAGTTAACTGACCTTGACCCAGGCAACATCCCCATTCTTTCACACATTCTCCGAAGTGTAGCCTGCAGAAAACCGATAGAGATGCTCCCCTCAGGCTATCAATAGCACGCCCATATACATAAATCATTTTTAGCTTGGATCTTCATTTGTTATGATCGGCTCAACTAAGCACTTATTTGTATATCTAACGATTCTTCTTGATACTCTATCTAAAAAAAAGACGTTGCTGGTTACTAACATTATCTGACAGCTATACAAATTGTAGTTTAACTAATATATAATTTCTTCATCCACACTCATCATAGAGAGTCCTAAATCAAGTCTTCATGACAGACTTTTGATTGAATTGGATTTTAATACCTTGTGTGAGCATTTAAAACAAAGAATTCAAACGCATGAATTACTCACACTAAAAATCGTTGTAAATCTCTTTTTATGTATATGTATTTTACAATCAATTTACTTTCTAAATTATAGTGGTTTCAAATAAGTTACAGTTTTGATCTAAACTAAAATTTTAAATAACACATTCCAACCCATAACAGTAACATGCATTATAAGTTCATCAAAGGGCCATATCATACTACCTAATGCCCCTTCATACATAGCTACTTAGGTGTTTCTTACTCCTGGCGATTAGGGGTCATTCCCGTAACCGGTAGTAAACGAGCAAAAACGATGCTTTAATCTATCCTTATGGAAGACTAGATTGTCAATATATTTATGTTAAAACATACGAGTAACTGCACCTGCAAAGTTTCATAAGGTTACGATTACTATCAATATTAAATTAAAAAGCTGTAAATGTTGTTCACACATAAGTACTCTATCAATTTACTCATCTCGTAGCTACGTACGAGTATATCATTTGAGCAAATAGTCCCATATCTTTCAAAGGTAAATGATTGCTGATTTGTAAATATCAATGATTATTAGTTGTGTTTCAGAATACTAAAGTACCTGATATTAAATTGGACTCTCTCTACGTGGTTCACGTTTCGCATCATAGATGCACATTGTGTAGTGTAAAAACACTTTAGTATCTTTCTACTCACATCACATCTAGTCAATTTTACATCACATCAGGCCTAGCTAGGGCTGATGGAGAATGAGCTTAAACTTTAGGCGGTCTTGATCATTATCATTGGATGTCGATGTGATGTGTGTCGATGGAGTGCGATGTGGAAGTCATTGGGGGAGGCCTATGTTCAGCAGTTGACGTCCTGTGGCTGAAATGATGATCATTATCAATTTCTTTTGTATTCTACCTCCATATAAATTCCAGGCGAGGTTCTCTCCGAGAAGATGGTGAACCTGCTCCACAACTGCGAGAAGCAGTTCGATGACATCACGGACGACTGCCAGCGGACCGTGAAGGTGGCAGCCTGCTTCAAGGTCGACGCGAAGAAGGAGGGCATCGCGCCGGAGGTCGCCATGATCGAGGCCGTCATGGAGAGATATTAGCACGGATGTTGGACGATACTGAGAGAGCAATGGAAATATCTTCAGAATCCTTTACGAGTAGAGCCACTCTTGAAATGTTTGGATAGCTATTTCAGATATATGGATCTCTAAATAGAGGTTGCTGGTTACTGTTGAATTTATCTGCCAGATATCTTTATTTGTGACCTGAGAAAGAAAATATTGTAGTTTATCGGAAGTAGCAAGTGATGAAAGACTGTTTTCTAAAATGACGCTTGGAACTAAATCTAAACTCAAGTCTGTAATTAAGAGTTTAAAAGGAACTGAAGGTATTTCTATTTGCTCGCAAAGTTAATGACTTAAGATTGTTCTATTGATGTTTTGTTGTTAGTAATAGAGTTATACTGATACACAGACGATGTATAAATAAAATTACTTTGGACTTGTAACGTGATCATGTAAAAATAATTCTTGCATGTCACCATGAAATACACTTTTCAATACACTCTTTAGTTTTATTAGTTTGTATTGCCTATATTATGTCGGTCTAGCGAAATATTTGTCAGTATTCTGTGATTTTAAACTATGCTTATGCAAATTGTATGCAATAACCGAATAGATTTATGACGTAACTAGCGGCCGCCCGCGACTTCGTACGCGTGAATCCCGTTTTTCCCGCTAATTCCCGTTCCCGTGGGAATTTCGGGAATTCCTTTCTTAGTGCACCTCTACGGTACCTAAGCTACGTCCCTTCCAAATTTCAAGTGCCTACGTTTAGCCGTTTAGGCTGTGTGTTGATCTGTCAGTCAGTCAGTCAGTTTCTCCTTTTATATATTTAGATTTAATAAAATGTTTAAGAAAACCAAGCCTATTACCATAAATAACCTAATACTCGTACAATTCCTATAATACCAACTTAAAATAAACCTAATTACGTGAACTAGTAAACACTTGAGTCTCTTTACACGTAGCGACCTAGTTCACATTTACTCTAAGTGAAAATGGTACGTCATAGTGTACTGAAATAAGTTTTAAAACTAAACTTGTGCTCGTCGCGCTTACGCAGGATTCTAATCCACAATCGTAGCTGGTGTTGTAATTCACTAGGTACCTAGACGATCTACTAGGTCAGCAGAAGATTGTCTACGAAAAGAAATGTAGGTACCTAAGTTTTTTAAAACCTGTCGATGCTTATAATGCTTTAAACATTTTAAATAAATAAATATCCTTAGACATTTTACACTGCGCTTCTAGTCCCAAACTAAGCAAAGCTTGTACTATGGGTACTAGACAACGGATATAAACATACTTAAATACTTTTTTTTTGTATATACCTACATACTTATTATACATAGAAAACACCCAGTCCAATACAAACAAATATGTTCATGCACACAAATGTTTGTACTGTGCGGGAATCGAACCCGCTACCTCCGGAACAGTAGTCCGTTTCGAACCACTACACCAAACGGCCGACTTTATCCACTATACCTAAAAACGTAATCTAGGACATTGCTTACCTTCACTTTAAAGATATGATAGTGATTTTAAAGCCAATGAAAATATAAATATCTTTAAGCACCAGATTCATACACAGCCTACAGTGATACTGATTTAGAGAAGCTGCCCTTTAGGGCTGCTGATTGTGGATCCTAACTGACAGGCGTCGCTGCGCAAATTACAGCGTGCTCTCTATGACTATGCTGAGCAAACGACGAAGGCTGAACGAACACGTGTCAATGAGATAATTGTGGAGTAACATGTTAACTTGTAAATGCGCAATGAACAAATTAGGATAAATAGACCCAAGTGTACAAAAAACTGAGCAGATTTTAGAGAGATAAAGCTTTAAATATTACTACTTGCTTGTGTTGAATACATACACTCTATGGTACCGGATAAGCTAACTTTCTTTAGAGAATGACTTAGCCTCGAAAGATTAGGTTTTATTTGCGGAAAAGCGATCAAGGTTCTCTCTTGACTTTACAGAAGTTCCAAATATGAAAATAAGAGAAGGGTATGGGACTATACCCTTCTCTTATTTTCCGCAAATACCGTAAGAACTCGTAGGTAACTATCTTAATTAAGCGGCACAGAATTTTCATTAGTGCATTTTCTTAGCGGTTACGTATTAAAAATAACATGAAGCGGTTTTACGTGTTAAAAATGACACCAACTTATTGCAAATAGTCATCACCAAATTAATTACACGTTGACGAGCCGATTCACACTGACAGCTCTTCAAACAGTAATTAAAACTAAAACCCATTAAGCTGTCCTATATAAACACTATGCGCTCTAGTCTGGTAATGTAGAAGGGTTAGATAATATAACCGAAGATGTGGCTGTCGAAGACGCTAGTGGTGATCGCAGTGATGTGCTCGATGAGCGTTGTGGTACATTCATCACAAGCAGTGATGAAAGACATGACGAAGAACTTTATAAAAGCCTATGAAGTGTGTGCAAAGGAGGTAAGGATTTTAGAGTTTCAAGAACAAATACACAAGGAAACAAATAATATAATTCTGGTGAATTTAGAATCTTGAACAAAATGAGCAAGTATTAATTGATCTAGGATAACCCATTACTAGATATGGGATGGATCTATGCACAAGACGAAGTTATATTCTTGGCAAAACCGTAATTAGCAACTTTTCAAGTTCAAGTTCCACAGAAATATAGACATCAACTTCCAAACTTATTTATCTTTCAGTACAATCTGCCTGAGGCCGCAGGAGCAGAGGTGATGAACTTTTGGAAGGAAGGCTACGTGTTGACGAGTCGCGAGGCAGGATGCGCCATCCTCTGCCTTTCATCCAAGCTGAACCTGCTGGACCCTGAGGGGACTCTGCACCGTGGAAATACTGTCGAGTTCGCCAAGCAACATGGCTCTGGTCAGTCTGCATATTTGTAGAATTAGCATATCAAAACGGTTGATTTGAAGACGACATTTTTGACAGCCTATGGCTGAAAGTAAAACAACCCAAGTGATACATGGAGCGAATATTTCAAAAATTTAAGTTAATTTGAGAAATTAAGGATTTTAATTATTCATATTACAAATTTTGTCTCTAAATAAGACATGGCATAAAATAGATAATTGGAATTAGGGAGGTCAAACACGTAATCAAGAAAATCTACCCAGACTAAAAGTTTGACCGTTAATTCCATAAGGTACAGTTAAGCATGCTCATAAAATGACATGCTTATTAGCATATTTAAAACAAGCGTGCTCAAACAACGCGAAATGAGCATGCATAATATTAGCAATGTTTCGACACACATATAACTAAATACTATGTAGCAATTTCTTAATAGTTGCATAATTTCATGTTAGAAACGAGCATGCGTATTATTCCCATGGACCTTTATTTTATTCCCATCGTTTTTCAGACGACGCTATGGCTCACCAACTGGTTGACATTGTCCATGCTTGCGAGAAGTCCGTCCCGCCCAATGAAGACAACTGCCTGATGGCGTTGGGCATCTCCATGTGCTTCAAGACCGAGATCCACAAGCTGAACTGGGCGCCCGACCACGAGCTGTTGCTAGAGGAGATGATGGCCGAAATGAAGCAATGATTTTATTTAGACGATGACATTTTTAAATGAAAATTAAACTGAACATTTACGTTATATTGGACTTAGGACTCTGAGAATTTTGTAACTCTTTTTAGTTTGGGTTAGCTTCTTCCTTTAGACATTATATTGAATATATTTTTTCCTCTTTCATACTAGGTGAAGGTAAATGATTTGTTTTTGATGCCTCATGCATGTAAAATGTAAAAAGAAAGTTCTAAATAGATAATTATTATTAATTAAATAATTATTTTTTTGTCCCTAACCTGCATTATAATTTATTGACTGATGAATCAATAAAAAAAGTTCAAATATCTGTTAGTACCAATCCCTGGAATCGGAATTTTGAGGTTTTTAATATAATAGAAAATTAATAGTACAAAATGATGTGCGTATCGCGACGATCGAAAGGCGAAAGGCAAGTGAAATGACATTTAAACATTAATAACAGTAACTAGCTAAACGCCTAGGATTTTACTAGAGCAATGTTACATAATTTAGTATGGCGAGTGACGTATGCGCGCAGGAGCCGTAACACTATGTTTTACAGCTGGACTGCCATTAAACCTAAGGAAGGTTTCTGGATGTGAATAATCACTTGTTAAGGCGCGAATCAATTTTCCGAGAAAATATTTGAGCTTGAGGACAAGGTTAAGTTGTCGATCTAAATAAAACAAGATCACAATCTGGGATATAAAGCTATTTAACAAATATAAGTTGCTGGTTACTGATGAATTTATCTGACAGATATCTTTAAGACCCGTCAAAGCAAAAATGTTGTAGACATCGGAAGTATCAAGTGGTGAAAGTCTGTACTCTATAATGACCCTTAAAGTAATTCCAACTCAAGTTTGTAATTGAAAAACGAAACTGAAAGTGAATAGGTAAGTATATCTATTTTCGTTCGATTATAGTATTAAAAGAATTAATCGTTATAATAAGAAAATCGACGATCGACGAAATTCTATTTAAAAAATGAGGAGATCCGTAAACGAACTTAAGTCGCTGACATAGCTCGACGGATTATCAAGGTGAAGTGGTAATAGCCTGGGCACATAATACGCAGAACTGACGGCCAATGGGGCAGAAAGGTTCTGGAGTGGAGGCCACATATCGGAAAACGTAGCGTACGACGTGGATGCAGACCGCTGCCAACCAATCATTATGGAAATCATTTGGGGAGGCCTTTGTTCAGCAGAGGTCATCATATATTGCTGATTTATGACGATGATGGTGATGAATACAAATATACTTGTATGTTACCATGAAATATTTTTTTTGTACTTTTCATTATGTAGTCGCACTTTATGGAAATGTGAAGATGAAACGTCTTAATATACCTACCTACTGATTAAATTTTAAATACATGTATCACTTTTAACATACGAGTAATTCTTGTGCTCATCATGTTAACGGCTCCAGGGACGCTAACCTATTCATATGAATTAAGTTATTTATCAGATCTAGGAGATCATAATAAGAAAATGCTAAAATATCTATTATGATTTCTCATAAGTAAAAGGCACCCGGTTTCTTGCGCTGCTTCTTCTCAGCACTGGCCCATTTATTGTCCCGAAGCAGTGGTAGGGTTAATATTGGGACGTGTAAGAGTGCTTTCTAAAAGCCTATTTGCAAAAAAAAAGATGGATACACGGCCTACAGTGAGACTGATTTTGAGCCGCTGTACTTCAGGGCTGATAATTGCACATCCCAACTGACAGGCACCGCGTTAATTACAGCGTGCTCCCTATAATCGAGTCACGCGCATACGACTAATGCTGAGTAAACGATGGAGGTTGGACACGTGTTAATAAGATTATTGTGGAGCAACAGATCAACACGTAAATACGCAATGAACAAATGAGGATAAATAGACCGAAAGCGTCCAAAATACAACATGACCAAATTTCTTAGAGTTTGCAGCTGCTGAAAACTACTAATTGTGTTGATTACACAACACTTCTAGTATCGGATAAGCTAAATTTCTATAAATAATCTTAGTCTTGACTGATAAGGTTGGCTTGGCTTCACAGAAGTTGCAAATGAAAAATAAGAGATGAAGCATACAATTTGCCCCAACACTTTCGTAGCATGTCGTTCTCAATACGGCAGCAAGTTACGGGTTAAAAATGACACCACCTATTGCAAATATTCATCACCAAATTAATTACACGTTGACAAGGCTGATTCGCACTGACAGCTCTTCAAACAAACGGTAATTAAAACTGAAACCCATTAGACTGTCCTATATAAACACTATGAGCTTTAGAATGGTAGTCTAGATAATGTGACCGAAGATGTGGCTGCCGAAGACGCTTGTGGTGATGGCAGTGATGAGCTCAATGAGCGTGGTGGTGCATTCATCACAAACAGTGATGGGAGAAATGACAAAGAATTTCATAAAAGCCTACGAAGTGTGTGCAAAAGAGGTAAGGATTTTGGAGATGCAATTCTAGTGAACTAGAATCTTGAACAAAGTGAGCAAGTATACATCCACACAGCATTCATGTGGAATGATCGATTACTTGATATAGTTTCGGCGAAAACCGACTCTCGGCAAATAAGCCGTTGTTTTCTGAATTTAAATTTGTTTGCAACAAAAAGTACCGTCTTCAGCTGCAAACTTATTTGCCTTTCAGCTCAACCTGTCCGAGGCCACAGGATTACAACTGATCAACTTTTGGAAGGAGGGCCACGAGTTGACGACTCGCGAGACCGGATGCGCCATCCTCTGCATGTCGACCGAGCTGAACCTGCTGGACGTTCAGGGGAGTGTGCACCGCGGGAACACTGTTGAGTTCGCCAAGCACCATGGCTCTGGTCAGTCGACGTAATAATTATCTTAAACATATCAAAGACTGATATCTAAATGCAAGTGATTTCATGGAGTCTATATTTCAAGAATTGTAACGTTCAATAAGTTCGACATCGAAATATAATAATATGTGAATTAAAGAGGCCTTAGCCTTGCCTTAACGAATGTTCGTTTGGCCGTCATTTCTTTATTTTACTCCTATAATTTTTCAGACGACGCAATGGCTCACCAAGTGGTAGACATTCTCCATGCTTGCGAAAAGGCTACACCCAACGAGGACAAGTGCATGTTGGCGTTGAGCATCGCCATGTGCTTCAAGGCCGAGATACACAAGCTGGACTGGGCACCCAACAACGAGCTGATGTTTGAGGAGTTGGTGTTAGATATGTGGAATTCGTGATTTATATTTTTTTACATTTATTAGATTTTTTTGCTATGTTTAGTTGATGTAGTTTATTCTTTTATCCATTAAATCGAATGTGTTATTTTAAATTAAATAAGAAGATTCTAAAAATATTTTTCCCGTAGTACTCAATTAATTAGTTACTAGGTGATGGTAATAGAATAGTTATTAAGGATACATCAGAAAATGTAAAAATATACGATTTTTATATAGTTAGTGTGTTAATAAACAAATCTTTTATTTATTTTCTCTTAAACCTTTAATTTGTTTTCTGATAAAAAACCAGCATCAATTTATCGGAGCCTTGTGATTAGGTCTAATCCCACCTCTAGCTTTCGTTCCCGGCACTGCAATCCCTATACAGGATGTTAGGTAAATGGGTTTTATAAGCCGACACTAGCCCATGGCATGGTGAAGTCAGAAAGATATCATAATTTTATTTTTTTAATTTGCATACAAAATTAAATTTAAAAATCAGATTTGTATTAAAAATTAAAAAATTAAATTTTCTGACTTCACCATACCATTTATATGCACATGTTAACATGGGCTAGTGTCGGCTTATAAACCCATTTACCTAACAACCTGTAGAGCTATGTTCTAGAGCTTGACCAAAAATAGCTTGACATAATAAAATCCAAGGAAGGCTCAGTAAGAACCAGGAGAAAGTTACTTGCAATGAAATTAATTTAAAGGAAATAGGAGTTAGAAGCTAAAGATCTACTCTCCTTTAGTGCCAAGTGGCTGATAGAAGACCACCTAATCACACATTTAATATAAGGATAGATATTCATCTTTGGCAAGGTCAACGAAACATACGAAGATTTTTCCTTATCAAATTTTCCTTAATGCATGTAAGCTGGATTGAATTGAGCACGTTATAGGAAAACCAACATCTGAATCTAATCAAAGCTTGCTTCCCCCTGAATAAGATGCATAATATGCATTATAATAATAATTGCATCTTATTCAGGGGGACCTTTGGTAAAGGTCGCGGGAAGAGCCTGGATGCGGGCAGCGCAGGACCGTTCATTGTGGAAAACCTTGGGGGAGGCCTTTGTCCAGCAGTGGACGTCATTTGGCTGAAACGAACGAACGAACGATTCAGGGGGAAGGTATTCTACGTAGGTATTACCTACATCCAGACAAGGACAATTGAAGGGGTGAGTGGACAACAAAGGTGTTATCTGACAAAACTGAAGAATCTACTTTTTTGCATGGACTGAACATAGGTTTTAAGTGATGATAAAATCGACTAATGAGCTCAAAACACGCAATTTTGTTACGTGTCAAACCTTAACAAAGGTGTTATCTGACAAGCATTCATACATTTCAGGATTCAAATGTGGTATGAGCAGATTAACATTTTCAAACACTCATAACTCATTTTGTTAGTTAAGACCTTTGTCCACTCACCCCTTCAATTGTCAATGTATAAAGTAACAAAGACAATAACTGTACGACTAAAATAACAATATGCCACAAGTTCTGGGTAAGATATTTCGTACGACAATAAGTTAGCAGAAAATTACTATGTCCAATGGAATAACTAGAAGAATAGAATATGAAAATGGCAAATCAAAAACTAGAAAAAGAAGAAGAAACACGAAAGCCTGTGATAATTAGCTGAGAAATTTTCCCAACATGTGCGAGAGTGTGTGTCGTTGCTACACTCGCTCGAAACGTAGGCGAATAAAGAATGAACACCTAATACCTCTAAGCATGATCCTACTATCTTCAGTTTTTGTTTATGATAAAGACAACAATTATTCATTTTTTAAAAATTGGTCTCCTGAGGGGGATGTGTTTGAGAAAAGTAAGGAATTTTATATTTAACAGTCCCATTAGTTCACGCCCTACTGTTTAACTATGGCGTATCTTTTGAGAACAATGAATGGGGTGAAACTCGTTACAAAACTGAATGCTTCTTAATCGACTCCACGCGTGGTTATAGTTAATAAATCTATTATCTCTAATCTTACCAATTTAATCACTCCTTATTATAGCCACCCATAACCCAGGCCACTCTGGTATTAGGATTACCGTTTTTTGAAGGTGTCGCGTCGTATTTAAAACCCTCAGACCCGACGCCCTTGGGCTTTTATTGCCACGTCACGCCTTTTCCATGAATGGAGCGAAGGCAATCATATGAGGCTAGAATACTCGTAATACACAGAATACGTTTGTGAGCACAGTCGACTTCAAAAATAATGGCACAAGTTGCATAAGGTTATCTATTTTTCGAGCACTTCCGCGCCTTCGTTGCCGCAATTTCCAAACTTTCATTCTCCAATAAAATTAATCCAAAAAAATTATTATTAAGTGGGTAATCACTTAATAATAATTTTTAAACACTTTCTGAATGAGTATTTTATTTTGAGTGACTGATAAAGCATTGTGTTTTTATTGGCAACTAGCTGACCCGGCGAACTTCGTACCGCCTTAGCGTAGAGATTTTCTTAATATTTTTTTCCGTAAGAACCATCCTTGGACTTGGACAAACATTTAAAAAAAAGAATTATCGAAATCGGTTCAGCCGTTCACACGTGATGCCGTGACAACGCGAAACGGGTTTCATTTTTATATATATAGATTAAATTTTACCTTTCCGAATTAATGTTTCTGTGCTTATTTTTTATTGGTTTTAGCATTGGTTTTTATAATATTTATGTCTTAAACTGGGTCGCATAGCAAAAAAATTCATAGCCAACTGTACTCCCGTTTTAATTGTCGAAGGAAACCTGTGAATGAATTGCTCTTTACCTCTTGAATGAATGAGTTGGGCGTATTTGCGACAAACTAATTGTTAGGTACCTCATCATAAGAAGCTGGCAATTAACAGTATCAATTAAATCGGTCGTGATATATAAAGAAATGACCAGCACTCGAACCTTCCTCAACTGTGCCCGGAGCTGAGGAGATGGGTCTATCGTTGAGGTTGCTTGTGGTGGTGGCGGCGGCCATTTTTGGCGCGGAGAGCTCGCAAGATGTGATGAAACAGATGACCATCAATTTTGGAAAAGCGTTGGATACGTGCAGAAAGGAAGTAAGTACCATAGAATGAGGAGCTTCTCCTTTTTTTTTGAAAAACTAAGAAAACTATTGAAACGTTTCCTTCTGCAAGTTGCTATTTATCGTTAAAAAAAACTTTCCTTGCCAGCTTGATCTGCCAGACTCCATAAACGCGGACTTCTACAACTTCTGGAAGGAAGGCTATGAGCTCAGCAACCGGCACACGGGGTGTGCTATCATGTGCCTCTCCTCAAAATTGGACCTCGTCGACCCCGAGGGGAAACTGCACCATGGAAACACCCATGAGTTCGCTAAGAAACATGGCGCTGGTAATGACTTTTTGAGCTTTAATTTACTACATAATTTACGAGTACCAAATAGTAAAAATTTTGCAACATCTTTTTTCTTCGAAAATCGTTATAGCTTATTACTACTGGGGTTGTCCATTCTGAAGGTAAGATCTTAAAGACTTCCAATCCTGTAAAAATACTTTAGTTTGTCAGGCCTCCATTTTAAAATCAATCTTTCTACATTTTGAACTGTCTCATAGCTACATTCTAGTTCTACCATATCTCAAATTTTCTAGATGATTCCATGGCGAAGCAATTGGTAGAGCTCATCCACAAATGCGAGGGTTCGGTGGCGGATGACCCAGACGCGTGCATGAAGGTGCTCAACATCGCCAAGTGCTTCAAGGCCAAGATCCACAAGCTGAACTGGGCTCCCAGCATGGACCTGATTGTTGCCGAGGTGTTGGCTGAAGTTTAATGGACCGAGGCTTGGACACTTGAACTTTGACTTGGATATTGGACAGCTCTAGTTTTACATTTGGGCTATTGACATACTTAATTTTTTTGCTACAACAATTGGTTTTGTACAGAAAAGGAAAACATTCAGTCTATTCTGTTCCTGAATTCTAGTTTTATTCGTCTCTACGTTTAGATAATTTATCATACCTGCCGAAATGATTAAAATATTTTATTTTCAGTTCCTTTTGCTACCAATTCCAAATGATCTCAATTTCTGCCTTAATTAGGTATTTATTCCACGTATCTTCATAAAGCTGAATCTTTAATTTGCAAACTCGGAAACAACTTCATGAATAATAATTACTTGAAAATGTTTTTACATTTCATATTCTTGATGACAAATAATTAATCAGAGCTGTTGAACGTTTGCGTCATAAATACTAACATTCAGTATTTCTGAATTGTACATACATGATTTGGACATAATATGTCCAAATCATGTACAAATTCTGTAAATAATTATGTCCAAATATTCAAGTCTACTACGATACGACGGATTCTGTTTATAGTAATAACTTGACCAGGCTGATGCGATGGAGTTGGAATCATACTTAGACACCAAAGTAAACATAATGTGCTGTGTTATTTTATTAAATTAGTATAGTTAGTGGCTAGCTGTAGCGTTTGTATTTTATGTACTCATTTTGTAGTGATATAATAATCCCCTGTAGTCTGGTGTTGTTGGGTTTAGTGGTTAGAAGTTTGATAAATGTTTAATCTCAATTTTGTCCTTGTGTTTTGTAGCTATAAACTTTATTGATTTGAGCAGTTATGATCGACAATATAATATGTAGATCACAATGACGTTGTTTTATTTCAACTTACACATTTTCATGATTTTATCATCTATAACGCTTATTATTGCAGGGCAAGATAGTGTTTACAAGGTTGTATTTCTGTTATTGGTTTCTCAAGTTCTCAGATCATAGCTATGATCTGAGGTTAAGCCAGTAACCGTCAGTAACTAATATAGTTTTCTTGTACACTACTTCAGGCACCTTTCGAAAAGTATTAAAAAAACTTTGCTTTACGTATTTTCGCTGAGTTATGAGTAGTGCTGCCAAAAAATATGAAAGAGTGAAGAATCATTCTTAATAACATAACACTAATCAACCAGCTCATAACTCAAAAACCAATTAACACTGTTTGTTAATTGCGTTTTACCAATTAAGAATTTTAGAAGAAAATTTCATATTATGATTGATTTAACACACGCCGGTGCACGTTAATTAAAATGATGATTATTTTCTTATTTTTGATCATGTTTTGGTGTCAAATTGTGAACGGACTGGATAATGCTTTAGTCCTAAAGACTGCCAGCATTAGCTATGGGAGAAAAGTGTACCCATGTCTTCAAGAGGTAACGAACACAATACCTACTCTTTAACCTCTTACTTCCAACCCAAGTAAGTCAGTAACACATAGTTTGGAGAAAATACAGTAGCCAAATATTTTTTTGCTAAGCAACCAGAGAATTATGATGACCATGGTCTCCACTTTGCCACAGAAGTTTCACAGTATTCTGCATTATTTCGTCATCAAAATTCTAGCTTCATCTTGGCGAAGACATCTTGACGGACTTGCTGAACTATTGGAAAGAGGATTACGAGTTCACCAATAAAGACATCGGTTGTGCCGTGATCTGTGTCCACCAGAAGCTCCACCTGCTCGACACCACTGGCGGGCTGGATCCGCCCCACACGCAAGCCTTCGTCCAGGCCGCTGGTGGTGGTATGTTAATTACTTACTTAACCACTAACACTGTTACCACCTGACTGATTGACTAACGAAGAAACTGGCCCGCAACCACGGGTGCAGGTGAAAACCGCTTCGTAAGTTCTTAGCACAACACCTCATTCTTGACGCAAAAAAACATTCGCAATTTAGCGCTGGTAGGGTAAAAAGATTATGAGACATATAGAGGTTCCTTAAGAGCAAAATGACGATTTGTAAGAACTATTTATTAGTCTAAACAAATAAAGAAATTTTGACTTTGAATCAGCATTTGATGCCTTTGGCGAGGAGTCCTCCTGACTAAGTTTACTGTCATGTAACGCCTTCATTATGCCATTAAAAATACACCTAATCTGGTATGTGACCAATTCTTTATGTACCATTTTGGTGCATGTACCTTACTAAAAATAAAAAAATAAGTGTTTGGTTTTATTAAAACTAATCGTTATTTTATTTTGTACTTGCATCGAATAAATACTTTTTCTTTCTTTCTTTACCATCTAAAGTACCAATTTATAATTATTTTGCATTTAATTGTTCTGATTTTCAGACGTCAGCATGGGGAAGTACGTGTCGTACCTTTATAAGAGCTGTGAAAAAGTAGCCAACGCGACAGATCCTTGCGTGAAGGCGTTGGAGGCGACCAACTGCTTCAGAAAGGCTGTTCATCGCGCCCAGTGGTCCCCTAACAAGCCCATAGTGATAGAAAAGAAAAGCGATGGCTGAATAGGGACACAGAATATCTAAGACATTAAAAGTATTTGCGTCCTGCGTTTTTGTTTTATTATTGATTCTTTATTTAAGAGGTGATTTTCGTGTTGTTGGCATACCACTTATATTATTATTATTAATATTTTGTGGACTTTGCACTTATTTGTGTCTTAGCCTTGCTTTGACAAAACGGTTTATTCTTTTTACTTTCACAAGGTTGTTTGTTACATCGCGATTATTAACGTGAATCTTATTATTCCTCTCCAAACTCCTACAGTAGCAATAGTCGCTAATATTAAACACAAAAATTACGATGCTGTAGAATAACATAACACTAGCCTTAGGATCTAGAATGCCTAAAGATACTTTACTACACCTATGGTGCAAACAAACAGTTTTCGATCGTGTCTCGCTTAGAACGTGGCAGGTCGAGATAGACGCGAGCTAGTTCCATTAAGCACTTGATTACACGAGCACATTGTCCGCGCGTTCTTCATAAATCTGCGCACAATGGCCGCCGTCACCTGGGCCTTAATTAGCGCCCTCTAGCGGCCCAGGCGCAGCTGACGAGTCGATTGTTCTGTCGGGGAGATAGCGATGGAGTTATAGCACAATTAACTGGAAGGGCGATCGAGATTAATCTTCGGGTTGGCTAGGAGTGTTGGCTGTCTGTGATTTAGAAGTCTGTTCGTCCTAGTGTGTGCAGAAATTCAAAGTACTTACGTGTTCATGCATATGAGGCTAAACTACACCAGTATATTAAGGAAATTAGAAGGTTTGACACTGTGAACTGAAATAACGAACACTTTGAAACAGCCCCGTTCTGAAAAAGTACTTTCTTTATTTTGTTGGACTAAGAAATTAGTGTGATGGTTGAAGAAAATTATTAATATTAAATTGTGATCCAGTTTATTGAAAATATTTAACTAATTCTTTAAATTTTCTTCATCAAACTTCTATAACTTCGGTGATGATGACCTCCATCTTGGGCGTCCAGTCGACCTGCTTGACGTCGCTGCGGAAGCACTTGGACATCTCCAGGGTCCGCTCGCAGTCGTCTTCGATCGCCGCCTTCTGCTTCTCGCACTCGTGCGCTAGTGTCACTAGTTGGGTCGCTATTTCATCTCCTGTAGAAATGCAAACCAATCGTAAAGAGCCATTTCTAACCAGAAAACATTTTGCTAGATATCAGTTTCATGAGAAAATTACGAAATAAAATTTGGAACAAAGCTTATGAAAACGCTACGAGTAATATCTAAAGATGTTTTGCCGTTTTCTCTGTGAAATATTGAACGGAAAATGCAACAATCTCACGGACCATTAAATTACTCTTTATTCATCAAACTGCTACTCTTTTGTAGCCAACAGTTTGTTCTTATTTAAACATCTTACCAGCCCCATGCTTCAGCGCGAAGTCTTTGATGTTGACGTGATGCATCTTCCCATCTCCGCCTACCAGCTCCAGCTTCTGGCTCATGCAGTGGATGACGCAGCCGGCGTCGCGGCTGATCTGGTCGTATTCCTCCTTCCACAGGTGGTACAGGTCCGAGATCACGCCGTCTGATAGGTTCAACTGATTACAGGATTTACCATCATCGTTCGATCATAATGCTGCTGATAAAGGTCTCCTATTTAGGGTGCCGTGTGTGTTCTTTGGAGACAGTTTGAAATGTGGTTTCATAATTGAAACGACTGATTTTTCGCAGAATTTTGGACAATTTGATTTTGTTTTTGAAGTTTTAGACACAAAATGGTTATTTAAGTTACTTTCGCATTGCATAAAATATATGGTTATAAAATAAAGAATGCATGAACTCCTTTAAAAATGTAGCAAAAATTTGGCACTTGTAAAAACTCATATAAAGTACAGCTCATTAGAATTAAACCCTAATAAGTTCAAACAATTTATGTGAAATTCTAATAACATATTCATACATACCTCTTTCTTGCATTGATCTAAAACCTTGAGGAATCCACCAGTCAACTGCTTCATTGCTTCGGGCACCATTTCTATCTCGCTCACCCCTATCAATACCAACATAAGAGTGACAGGGACGCCCGCAAACCCTTTCATGTTTCGGCAAAAAGTAGTAGAGGCATTTGATGGGAGATCTTTTATATGGTGTTTCTTTGTAATGACAGGTAATTGGCATTAATGGAATTAATTACCCGTTGCGTATCGACAGCGTTCGCCTTAATTGGAGTGCCGCCCCCTGGTGCTGCGCTTGCGCATCTACTAATTAAACGATTCCTTCTAAACGGTAGCTCCGTGGTATATAAGGTGAACTGAGGCATCAAGATCAGTTTTTGCTCTTGAAATTAAGTCTGTAATGCTAAGCTTAACATTAGATTTCATTAATTGAAACTTACTTAATGGTGTCTGTGATTAGAAATTGCTTAAGTAGGTAATTTACCTTTTTGACCATAGTAGGTATTATCGATGTTAGTAAATTCTATAAGACGTGGCCATAAATTGTGTAACATTTTCCAAGTAAGATTATTTTATTACATTAATGTGCCTATGCACAGGAGCAGTGGCTGAGCAGCTATTTATATCTGAAACTTGCTTCTGCCCGCGGCTTCGTCCGCGATGACTTCCGGTCTGTAACAGACAGTTCTGGTACCTAGCATTAATCAAAAACATTTTTAGTCAAAGTTTAAAATGAGTACACTGATAATGAGTCATGATGGGTTCTTCAAACCCTATCTTACTCCCTATAAGATTTATTTTTGTGATAAAAGTTATCGTAATGCCCGTTTTCACCATCAATCCCGAATTTTTAAGTGGGGTCACATGGTAACAAATAACAGGAATTTTGTTTTAATAGGGGTTACTTAAAAAATAGGGATTGATGGTGAAAACGGGCATAAGCCTCAGATCATAGAAGCCATCTAAATTATGCGTAACATAAGCACATAATAGACAAAAATACACCGGTTCTTTTGCATTTTTTATATACTGCTTACTTACATTAGTTATTTCCGCAGAGTAATCCTTATGGATACAGAATTAATCAAACCAAGAAGAAGGAAAATAAATAATAGGTACGTATAAGCTTGTTATACGACGCTTTCTTTTCCTCTCATCCTAATTCATTCCAGGATTACCCATTATCCTCACGTACACTAAACAACCTCCTCTGGAAAATACATTCGTCCAATTGCAATTGAAATACGTATCGGGAAAAACGAAAACAATTCTAAACCGATATTTTATTGTATCTGCGAACAACACGCGGACCGAGGATTCCGTACAAAATAATTAATTTTATTATTAGGTATTGACTGATTATTATGTTCCATAAATGCTTCGTGTTTGATTTGTTTTGCATACGCCTGCTAACGTGATCTATTTTTCTAAAATTAACTTGTGTAGTAGGTAGTTGGAAAGTTGACTTTTACTTACTTATTAAGCACTCTAAGGCTGGTTGCACCACCTAACTTTGACCGTAACTATAACGATAAATGGTGCTTTTTGTATGGAGTTTGACAGATTTTTTATGTTTGTCAAAGCTAAAGTAAGATGGTGCAACCCAGCCATATAAAATATAATCATTTTACTGCCGATAGCGGTTTCTTCGGAGAACACCCAAAACTTGCTTCGCCTTCGAAGTACCGTGCCGTTTCTGTGGAAAAATAAAACTATTACTACTACGTACTACTGCTATAGAATTTTAAGAATTCTTATGTAGAGTGCCTGAAAATAAAACTCGTTATTTCCATTTACAATATTTTTGTATTTCGTAGTTTCTCTGTCTGCCCACGGGCCCCTAGCAGCAAAATGGCGGCGCGCTAAATCTCATCCCCTCAGTGCGAACACCTGAGCCCATGTTTACTTCCATCGCCACCCATGGTGATGGCACAAATGTATTGATATCTACGTGTAGAACTTCTACATCTAGGTACCTACGCAATGCGATACAATCCGTTTCGTTACATTGGATTTTATGTTAAAAGATGATTGAGAAAAAACGTGATCAAGAGGAAAATGATGCACATGAACTTCATGTAAAGTTCAATTTTATGTTTTCTTCTCCTTTCTTTTGATTTTCCTAATAACTCTTCATGTCTTTATTATTCATGACATAAGTAGTCTATCTATACTTATAATAAATCTGTAGAGAGGTCAATTCTGTACATGAAATATATTTTCAAAATAACTATCGGGGGGTGATTAGTGATCGATACTGATGCCAAAAATGCAATCAGTAAAATTTTTGTCTGTCTGTCTGTCTGTCTGTATGTTCCTTATAGAAACAAAAACTACTCGACGGATTTTAACGAAATTTGGCAAAATTATTCTTCGTACTCCTGGGCATGTTATAGGATACTTAGGAATTCCCACGGAAACGGGAATTGGCGGGAAAATCCTTTTGTATGAAAAATCTAAACCGCTTAAGTTAGACGCTTGAAATTTGGCATGCAGGTACCTTAGTAAATTTAAAGCTTTGTTACAACAGGATATTGCAAAATTCCCACGGGAACGGGAGTTAGCGGGAAAAAACATTTGTATGAAAAATCTAAACCGCTTAAGTTAGACGCTTGAAATTTGGCATGCAGGTACCTTAGTAAACTTAAAGCTTAGTTACAACAGGATATTGCAAAATTCCCACGGGAACGGGAGTTAGCGGGAAAAAACATTTGTATGAAAAAATCTGAACCGCGTAAGATATATGAAGGGGGGGGTAAAACGAGATCCACGCGTACGAAGTCGCGGGCGGCCGCTAGTGTTTAATATAAATTTAACTACTTCAAGCTTCAATTACCTACCTCTATCTCTGGAAGTAGTCACTTAGCAAGTAGACAGTTTTACATTAGAATATGCAAATGTCTGCTTAAATTAATGTAAACTGATTAATATTTTAATCTAACCAGTCACTTCATCTGCAAATTTCAATTTTAGATGCGAGCTGAGATGATCTTTCGCACTTAGAGTTAATTATACTAGTTCTTGATCCGATTAACTGATAGAAGTCATTTCTATCTATCAAGCTCTTTAGATGCTTATCAATGTA